AAGCAGGAGCAACGCAAAGAACTAACGCGAGAGAAAAACAGGAGTCATAGTTCTCAGGCCTCCAGTCCCTCAACAAGCGCAACCATTTGGCATTCCCATACGGTGCACTGAGAAGTTTCCTGAGCAAGAGAATCAGTCACGTGGGATGGGCCGGGCGCAGCAACAACTCGGACGGCGGCGGGCATAATTGTCCAGCATTTATCAAGCCCGCATCGGACGCGGAGAAGAACATTGTGGCAATTAATGAGCCATCACCGCACCAATTAATACCTCAAGCGGTGGTTACAGGAATTGAAAATTATAGTACGTCCGCAGATGACCGCTACGAAGTATAAATACCGTGCAATCTGTGCATGTTTCACCCTTATCTGCGCATGTTTCAGACTTTTCAACGATTACCTATGACTAAGGATTCGCAACGGAATCCGAAACGTCAGGACAATAAAACACTTGTTCCAGTGGTCGCTTCTTCTTCTTCTTCTTCTTCTTCTTCTTCTTCTTCTCGTGTTCCAGTGATCGCTTCTTCTTCTTCTTCTTCTTCTTCTTCTTCTTCTTCTTCTTCTTCTTTTTCGTTTTCGGACCTGCATCCTGGCACTCGCATATTCAATTCTCTTCGTATGTATACTTTCGGTAAATAATCGTCAGGCTAATACATTTATATGAGAAGTGTTGTAACGGTGGCGGAGTGCATTTTGAGTTAAACTCCGCCCTAACAAGAAGGGAGTGTATGTTAAAACGTGTTCGTCTGTTCGTAAAAGTGAGTCATGGGAATAGGAGGGGTGGGGGCGGGGATGGTCGATAGAAGGCCAGCTATAAGGGCAGGGTTTGGTGGAGCAGTCTAGGCGAGGGAGACAAACAGATTGGGGATGAGTGCGCGTGGTTAGGTGACTGCGGAGCTTGTAGGAAGTTCTTTTGTGCACACAACGCCGGCTTCATCAACCTGATAGCGGATCAACTTAAGGCGATGAAGGCAATTTCACGGTGATCGTCTCACAGTGGGGTGACTTTTTGCTAACATCACTCCTGACTGGAGCCATTGTGTGCTTCTCGACCTGGAAACAAAACAGGCAGCCAAATCGTGTCTCTCAATCATATCGCTGCGTGCATTGATCGGACTGCCCTGAGTCTGCGCTGTGCAGTCTTAATTGTATGTTTGTGTGTGGCGCGTCTTCGACGTAAGCCCTCACGCCCCATCAACTACCGCAGTTAATCAGTTAAGAAGAACAAAATTTTCTTAATAATTCCCAAGTTCCGGAAAGGTATAAAAAATTATAAACGTGGACAATACATTAAAATCTTTCCTTTCCACAGCATTTTTTTATGTAAAAGCGCTTTTCCCTAGTCAATATATTTTAAATATAGTGTTTTTATTCCGTTGCAATTACTTACTGATGGTCCTTTAAATGCCGATAGATTTTCGAGCGTTTTCGGTGTCTTCAAGCCAAATATACATTAAGATTTTCATATAATTCTTATTCTTCTGTCTTTTCCGTTTCCAAATTACCCATAAGCGGAAGTTATAGTGTACAACAGAGTATATTTCTACATGCCTTAGATTTAATAAGATGTGGTTTTACATTCATATTCGCGATAATATAGGAGCAGTTTTGGTTACGTTGCAAAAAGTAAGTATGTTAAAACAGAATGCTCTTAAAGCATTTTTACTGCATTTTGTGGCATAAAAGTTCATACATTTGGAAAAAATAATTATTAAAACTGAAAGTTTTCCTTGCTTGTGAAAATAAATAAGACTCCTGGAACTTGGCTTCACTTGTATTTGAGCCAATTCGGACCAACTCTTCCGGTTCTGGAAGGGATATGTTTTTCACCTTGTTTTTACCTATTTTGGACTTCTTCCATAGCATAATGCATATTAATAAAGGGTTTGGCGCTTTCGTACTTAATAACGAATTAATACCCACTAACTCTAATAAAATTAACCAAAACGTTTTCTTAGGATTAGATTCACTCAGTGGATTAAAATATCGTGACAAAGTATATGCCAAACTACCAAGTCAAATTTCGTCATGACCATTGTACGGTTTCGTCGCTGTAAATTAGTTCATACGCAAGTCACCAGTGCTTCGTCTAATCTGTCTGTTCGCTTGCG